CAGACTTTGAATACGTAAAACTGTATTTTGTTTTAGGTGGAAAATACACCTCGATCGATGTTCATAAAAGTCAACAAGAAAGAGAGTTTATAGTACATTTATCGTTTGCCGAAGGTTCCGACTCCATCCTTGAAGGTGGTGGTCTTATTTCTAGAGCCAAGATAAACATCGAAAAAGAAAAAATAAAATATTCCTATCATCTTAAAGAGGACCATACGAAAAAAGAAATGTCGTTAGTACGCGTAAATGTTTTTACTTTTAATACCCGCAAATATAATAATGCTAGGCCAAACAAGCACGCTCTATACGATATTCCGTGGTTCCATTTATCGGAAATTCACTTAATTTAACGACTTAAAAAATGGAACTCGAAAGCAGACAACAATACATGATAGACAAACAAGAAGAGTTGAAAATAAAGTTAAGACAGTGCAATACATGCAGGAAAACATGGAGTAGAATCGATTCTTTTTTCAAAACAGCGAGCACAGTTCTAACGGTAGGAGTAACGGTGGCAACGGCCGTGACTGGTGGATTAATGCTTCCGGTCATCGTCCCAACCGTATTGGCTGCATTAACAGCCGTTCAAACGACTTCTTGCGGCCTCATCACTTTAGGTTTCACGAGCAAAAAGAAAGCTCATTATAAAAAGAAAACGGATATCTTGAATATGTATCTTAATCAATTGTACATCCTTTTCGAAAGATCGAGAGAAGACAAGAACATAACAGTTGAAGAATTAAAAGAATTCAATGAAATTTTGGACAAATTCCATACAGAAATATCAGCGGTCAAAATAAAGAAATAATCAAAAATATATACTTAAAAAAATATGAATAAAATCGAACTTGCAGACGATGAAACATTAATAGAAAACGCCCTATTTTCCGATGTTATCAAGGCTATCTCTGATAAATTTAAAACATTCAAAGGACAAATTAAAATAGATGGAGAGATAGTCGAGGAAGGGAATCACAGACAATACATGTCACTCCTCGGTTTCAATGCCAAAACTTTTCACAATATCTTTTCAAATATGGACAAAAAATCTGATGCTTCCGATTGGTATTTAACAGGAAAAATAATTTTAATGAAAGACAATTTCCAAGAAATCAAAAGGTCGAGAGTTGGTAGAGGAGGAACTGATCTACTTAAAAAGATAAATGAATACGAAGGCGAAAATTGTTTCATACCTACAGATGGTCATTGTTTTATCAAATGCGTTAATCGTGTTTTGAACAAAGATTTAACGTGTAATACATCAACGGGTTTTCAAAAGCAAATAGAAAAGGAGTGATGACTTGTGCTAGAATGAAGGAATTCAACAAGAAATTTAACTCTTCGTTTCAAATTTATAAACCCAAAAACAGACATTTTCACCCCAGAGACGTGCATGATGAATTAGATTGGGTTTTTTTACTTACACAACTCGCATTTCTATTTGATTAGAAGAAGCCAAAAAAGTTTGGGAATTCAAGAAATAGAAGACAATTACGAACAGGTGTGGAAAACGTGTAGAGACGACAATGCAGTAACACAGTTTTCACCTCTCAAACTAAACGTGCTTTCAAGTATGAGTGATGATGCGTTATTCGCTTGGGATTGCGAAACGTATTCAGAAAAAGACACGCGAAGAGCAATTCCTTATGCCTGCGCTTTAATTAATTTAGAAAAACTAAGAAAAAAGTTAGAAACAATAAAAAATATCTTTCCAAATATAAATCCTACTGATAATGTTCCAGAAGAATTTTATGATAAACTAATGAATGTAGTAGAAATATTTGTAGGTACAGATTGTATAGATCAAATGTTGAAATATTTAGGTCAATAAGATATAAAGAGATTAATATTAATTTCTCACAACGGCAGTGGTTTCGACAACTGGATCGTGCTTAAAAGAACAAAAAAACTAACGCATTGCCCTTTAAAAACACCCAGAGGAATTCTATCTTTTCCTTTATCTAATCCATATACAGATGAAGATTTACAGAAAAAATGGAAAAGACAGAAAGAAATAAAGGGTAATTATTTACAACATATTAATTTCACATGTTCCTATCAACATGAAAAATCTAGTTTGGCTGCATGGGGAAATTCTTGCAATCTTCTCGCGAATTTGAGAAAGATTGCCGACGTAGATATCGCTAAATACACGCAAGACAACTGGGAGGAATTGAGATACGAATGGGAACCTTACGCCAAGAGAGACACTCTGTTTGGGAGCTTGTTTGATAAAATACAACCAAGTCATGAAAGAAGTTGTAAACCAGAATATGTCCAATAATCTAACTGCTCCATCTCTATCTTTAAAGGGTTGATATTATTTATATCATTACGATAAAGAAATGGTTGAAGAAGAATGGTATGAAACTACTAGAATGGTTGCGAAACATACCGAAAAAGAAAATATAGAAAAAGTTTATTCGCACACTAATCCTTTTATAAGAAATTTTATCAGACGATCTATTAAAGGAGGAAGAGTTTCGGCAAATAGAAAATCATTTGAAACGCACAAAATGGAATTTGTCACGTATTAAAGGAATATATTTCGCAAAGTGAAACACGAAGTGATAACATAATTGATTTATTCAAAGAATACAGCGCAAGCACAAAAGACAAAACGGAAGTTCATTCGAGACTTAAAAAAATAGAATGCACTAAACTAATGGCATTCGATGCTAACGGTTTATACGCTTCCGCCATGTCGGATTTAGACAGTGAATATCCGAGAGCGGAAAATGGAAGACCGTTTCTACCAGAAGAAGAAAAAGAATTTGTAAAACTCTTCAATAAACAAAAATTCAGACCTAGAACAGCTATTTTAACAGTGTGGTTTGACTATCCCAAAAACATGTTCTTCCAACCGATACCAGCTAAAGATAAAATCACTTTCACGAATAAAGAAGGTAAAAAGGAAACTGGTAAAAAAATCGGGTTCAGAAATGGTTTCTGTCACGACGTTTTAACATCGGTTGATATTCAAGAAATAGTGAAAGCCGGTGGACGAATTATTAGAATATTAGATGGTATAGTTTACGAAGAAAATTTTAAAACTCCACCCTATAGAGATTATATTTTAATTTTGAGAGATTTAAGAAATAAATATAAACGAGAAGGTAATATCGTGGGTAGTAATTGCATGAAATTATTAGGTAATTCCTTGTATGGTAAATCAATTCAGAAAGATATATTCACAACTAGACATTTATGGAATGAAGCAACTTTACAGGCCAACTTTGATTCACGTATTAAAACCTCTGAGAAAATTAATGATACTCAATATATTGTTGAAACAGAAATTGAAGAAAAGGAGATTACTACCGAAGATAGTAAATCTACACGACTAACACCTAGTCATTTGGGATCATTCGTTTTATCTCACAGTAAAAAAATAATGAACAATTTCATTCACGTCATAAATGGATTTTATAAACCCGAAATTTACTATACCGACACCGATAGTTTGTACATTTCATCCAAAAATTGGAAAAAAACTAAACAGAGCTGGTTTGGTCTCCGAAAAAGACTATTGCAAAGGTAAAAGCGATTACGGTGACGGTGGAATTATATTTGGTTTATATTTAGCACCAAAAGTCAAATACAACATCGTTTTGACTTCTGATGGTGTCTTAAAAGAAAAAAGAAAACGTTTAAAGGTTATTCTAATGATAAGATAAGTGTAGAAGATTACGTTCAATTAGCAAGCGGACATGATGTGTCGAACGAATTTAATGAACCATGGGAAAAAAGTTTCACCAATGGAGTAGTTATTCCAAATGATAAACAAACTTAAGTTTTTAGAAGTTATTTGAATAATGTTAAAAGAAAACCACCAAACAGTGAAGGAATTATGTATCCTTACAACGACAAAGATGAGTATAGTTTTGACGAAAACTATGAATTTGATGATTTCGATTATCTTACTATTCAAGAAGAGAATGAAGATTGTTTTAAATGAAGTTGAATGACAATTTCTTCGTTGCCAAAGTCTATGAACCTGTTTTTACCGTCTTTGATTTCCAGATTTATATCTTTGATCATGAAAGAATTGACTGGTAAATAGGTCGTTTGAAACGGTTTCTCTATTATTCTGTATCCGATAGGCATCGTAAAAGTCGGTATGCTGTATATGATTTGGCGTTTGTGCTTGTTGAAAAATCCACCGTTGATCAAATTACAGTGAATGTTGATCACATCGATATCGTTCTCGATGTTGGCCTTGTGCGGCGCCAATGTCGATTGCGCGTATATTCGTTTATCGAACCCTAGTAACGCATTCAACGAATTTTCTACGTTGAAATCGACTTGACTGTTATTTCTCAAGATCAGTTTTATTTTGTTCAGATTCAAATTACCTTCGAATTCGATATTGTTTTTACCGTTCACGATTCCTGCGTATTCGGATAGGTATTCGTTGATGGCCACGTATTCGTAGCTTCCCGGTAGTAAGCTTATGGTTTCGAACGTAACTCCGTTATCCGTCGATATTTTTAGTTGATTGTTTTTTTCGTTGATGTTTCTAATGGAATTGTAAACGGAGAAATACTTTAATCCCAGTTCGTACTGTTTATTGCGATCGAGTTCATACTCGTAGTCTAGAGACAATTTGATGTCTGGTTTATTCGAGGTGATAACGAACAATTGTTCTTTGTTGGACATTTTTAATGACGTTTATATAGTCTTTTTTAGTGATGATTTCTTTCTCAAAAAGTCGTTTTAATATGCCATTGACTTCGTTGTATTGTCTGTCTGATCGATGACCTTCTTTCATGGCCGCTAATATTATTTCTAATCTATTAAGCAATTCTTTATTGTTGTCGGATAAAAACGTTATACCTTGCCCAGATGCCACCATATCATCGAATTCGTCTATTTCTTGTATGATTGGTGAATACTCTTCTGTATAATCATCTACCTCCTCTTCCTCAATTGTTATATATAAATCAACTTCTTTCAATCTTCTTGTTTCGGGTCCTGACTTTCTGATCGCATGTAGAAATTTCGAGTATGCAACTAAATCCTTGTAATCGGCAATTTCAACATCCTCGCCATTCATTAAATCTATTAATCCTCTCGTTAATGTAAATATAAAGTCTTTTGTGTCGATTTTGAATTGTGGTGAATCTCCACTAAATCTTATTCTAAAACCATTGAACAACAAACCCTCATCATCAACGATTGGTGAAATGCTCTTTGGTAAATCTGGGTCAGGGTTTGAAAAAAGACGTTTTATATCATCTAATGTCCTAATTATAATACCATTATATTCAATCGGTTTGGGTTCTATATGAGGTGTGGGTTCTAAAGCTAATTTCTTTTTAATATCCTCTTGAGATTTTAATATGGGTTGAAATAGAGTTTGTAGATTTTCTGTTAATCCGAGTTGTTGTAATTTGTATTTTTCAACTTGGGTCTTTATTTTATTCTTAGCTTTGATATATTCTCTATTTCTTTTTAAAATATTATTCAAATCCGTCATTTTAAAAAAATAAAATTAACATATATCGATCATAACTCTTTCTCCCGCAGGTTTTCTAGTATTTACAAATACATATCCATGATCATCTGGGTTTCTCCATTGAGCTTTACAAACCTTTTTAAATGTATCTCTATCCATTCCGTGATTTATAGACTGAATGATTTGAGAAAAACTTTTATATCCGTTGGATTGAAAGATGGATTCTTTGATTTAATGAGGTTTTCTATGATATCTTTTATTTCCACTTCTTCTTCGTTTTCTTCGTAATATTGAAATATGTCTTGAA